GCCTCTCTGAGAGAGTGTTAAAGTGAAAGTTCACTCTTTTCAACGATCGCGGCTTTGTAAATCATAAACGGTGTTGTTCTCCTTTGATGGTTCCTAGATATAACAAATTTAAAACAAACTCCTCGCATCTCTTTTTTTTTTTTTTTTTTTTTTTTTTTTTTTTTCAAGAAAACACAATTGTGAAATATTCGGCGAATTTGAAATTGAGGTTGAGAGATAGAACCGTTTTTTGCTCGGTGTAAACGCGCACACGAGCGAATATATAGGTGGATATTTCACGAGTACAAATTCCGAGTTCAGACGTAAAACAACAAACACACGCAGTTGTGAGAGACAGAAAAAAAAAAAAACTTTGTTTTGTTTCGTGATGAGTTCTTATCTCTCTTAAAAATATTCCACAGAAGGAGAGAGAAACAACATTTGTTATCGGAGAAATGCTTAAAGCGTCGTTCTTGAATTAATGAACGACGCTCGCATCAAGGACTTTTGTTCTCCGATGAGTTTTCCCGATCGTGGATATATTCGTGCGCGCTTTTATGCCGGACAGGCGCGCGGGTTCGATGATCCTTACCTCGGCGTGACCTTCGCGGATCGGAAGCTTGAGGTCGACATTCGCATCGCACCGAGAAGCAGGAAGGAGGTGGCTATCTTAACCGCGAGAGAGTTCAACGCACGCTTGTACTGTAATCTCTTCCGTGGCCAGTTACTTCTTACGGCTTACGACGATTCGCTCGTCCGGCCAGGCCAGGTTACAAAAAAAGACGAGTTAAAGAGAACCTTGCGCGATGATGTCTCGCGCGATGTTATCGAGAACTCGAGAAGGATCTCGATCGCGCGAGTTTTCTAAGCAAATTGAATGAAGACGGAAGACACATGCTCGCTTATTTCTTTAAAATAGCCAGCAAAATTCTTCCACAGGGTTTCTGGAAAAATTGCAATCATTGCCGATATATCTCGCCTTTTATGCAAAAAACAAAAAAAAAAAGGAAATTGCAATTAATTTTTCTACGAGACCAGAAATTATTTATCTTAAAACAAGTTTTCGTTAATTTTTATTTCTGAAATACTTTTTAACAAATTATTTGAAACACGTTAGTTTAGCTTTCTAAGCGTATATGAAACTTCAAAATGTAGAAAAAAAATTCATAACATATGTACAAGATACTTGGAGACGTGAGTGGTAAAAAAAAAAAAGAAAAAAAAAAAAGCAAAACTCCTAGTATTTTGATTTTAATTGATTCGCAGCAAGACTAATTGCAAAAGAGTTCCGAGGCGGATTTTAAAGCGTTACGATCAATTTCTGGTTCGTTTGTTAGCCAAATTAGTCGCGGTATACTCGCACGGCGGAAACTTCGAACGACCTGTGGGGAAGAGTATTATTTTCTCGAGTTAATTTCGTTCCACCGACGTAATCCTACGCGTTGGTAACGTGCCAACGGGCTAGACTTCTTCGTTCATCACGAAACTAACCCGCCGCTCGACGCGGATACACACGCACATATTGTCCTACGGCCAACCGATAAACGTGACCGATGAAACCAATATGTGACTCATATGAGAAATTATTTGCACGACAGTGGAAAAGGAAGAGAACATCGAATCTAATTATTTACTGCTTTAATAATCGCTTCATAATATGTTATTGAAGCATTTTCCAATAAAACGACGTAATATTGCGAAAAGCGTACGTTAATTACTTCTTAAACAGAGTCATATTTAATATATCTGTTTTTCCGCAATTATTAATTAAACTGATATATATCAGCAGATTAAAATTTCTCTGGAAATGACATGCGTATTTTTTTGTTATTTGTATACGTGTACTTATATGTAGTTATTATTATTTATAGATACACTTAAACAATTTTTTATTTAAGATACATTGTTCGATTTTGTCTTCTGATAAAACCACAATGTGAGGTGAAATTACATAATACCATCTCGCGTATGTAAAATTCAAAGAATATCGACTTTCTCGTGGGGAACTCCAGGAAAAACTCGAGACTTCCCGACAAATTAACGCATTTATGCGTATTCCGGATGTTCCGAGAACACGGCGCGGAATTAAATTTGCACAAGAAGCGTTCATAATTCCGCTCGACTAGGCGAGCGGAACACCTCGCGAGCTATCCCGCTTGTGGGCTCACGAGCGGAAGCGACGTTGTACGGCGATGCGCGTTCGAGAAAAGAGAGGTCGCAAAGGGTTCATCGTCTCTTTCTCCCGGGTGTTCCGCGTAGCGAGTCGGCGCGAATCGCCGCCACCAGGTGGAGCGGACGCGGAGGAGGAACGCGGCGGCGGAGGAGGCAATCCGGTCGACGCCCCTAGGAGTCGTTCAACCCGCTCACGCCGGCGGTCGTCGGCGATCGGCCTTGAATCACCCGTGCCCGTTTACGGGAGCGGCGGCGTAGGAACGCGTGTTCAACGCGGGGTTCAAGCGCCAACAAGCGGACCGACACCGAGCCGAGTTGATACTTCCGGTCAAGAAGTACAGTCCTCTTCTGAACACGGTGCGCGATCGCCGTCTTAGAGGTAATCGCTGACTCTCCTCTTCGGACAAGATCATCGTGAATTTATATGCGCGGATTCGCTGCCTATATCGTGGAGATGAACGACCGCCGCGAGGCTGTCTTGCGAAGATATTGTACTTCCTATTATGTAAGAGTTTCTTATTAGACGCTCTCCGCGTGATTCTTTGTCTATTATAAAGTGACTTATGTAGATAAATTTTTTAGCAGTGTGACACAAAAAGACGCGTTAAATTGAATTGTTTATATGTTTATAAATACTCGTGTGAGTTACAATATTTGGATTCAGACGAGAAAAATATATTATTTAATAAAGTGATGCTATCATGAAAAAATTGCAAACTTTCAAAATTAACAATCTAATAGAAATAAATAAATAAATCTCTAATATAATAGTATAAAAAAAATAAATAGCGTTTAAATTAAAACTACGCATTTTATATCCTGAAAGAAATTCTATCGTTTAATTAATTAATTTAAATATTAAATTTAATTGTATAGGAACAACAAATTATTATGAGCAAAAATGTTGTATGCAAAGAACATTCCACCGATCACAATGTTTTCACTTATTCTTTCATCAATTTGCAAATGTTTTTGTAAAATATTCGAAGAAAACACGAATAAATAATGCTTTATTTGTTTATCAATAAAAATTGGTAAATTTAAAAGAGCTGACAGCGATATTGAAATATTATACTTCTTAACCTTTCTTTAAAACCTTCTACGTAAGTATATACATAATTCTGTGCAGAATCCTTGGAGTTCAATCCTTGAATTCCATCCTTGGATTATCAAGTGATTCCGCAACGACCTCGGGCAACAATGTGCGAAACTACATTCACGCCTCTTCGCGTGCGTGTGTAAATAATAAATGGCCGAAAACACGTTGAAGACATTACAACGTTAAAAAGTACCAGAAAATGTCAACCGATGATATTATATAATCTTTCGTTTCGTAACTGTCAACCTTGAACTCAGGAATATATTCCGTTGAATTTGCAATAATCGTCCGAGGTCTCGTATACATAAAACGTTTAAATCGCGATGCAAATTTTCACGAGAATGACAAAGAAAACGCAAAAAAGGAAACTTCTTATAATTCGCGAGTTTCTGACAAAATCGAGGACGACACTTGCATATATATTCGCGACATACAATCACGCGCTTGTCACACAGCGAGGTATGAACGATAAATCAAGCGCAGATTGCGCACAGATGATGTGATGTTGCGAAGCGAACTGCGAGGTGAGCGCGCGAATCGCTTACGCGGCGAAATCGGTGTCGCGCATTACGAAAGTTAACTGGAGCACGAATTGACTTTCGATTTATAGGCGAGCGCACGGCCCGGCCGAATCGACGGGAACGCACTCTAAGCGTGTGTTCCATCGATTCCAAAACCCGGGTCTCTACGCGCGAACGCGGCGTATATCGTAAAACTCGAGCAGCCGCTCTTGCGCAACTCGCGAAAGCGAAACGCAATGTAATGTCCGCGGTTCTCTACTGTTGAAATTAGAACAGGAGAATTAAATATATATGTATATATACATAATATATATTATATATATATATATGTGTACGTTCTCGAGAGAAACCATCGGGGCTCTCGGTTACGACCTCTACAAATGTCTTTTTTTTTTCCCCGAGGACAGTTTTAATTTCACTAGATTTCTCTTTCAAGATCCAATATCATGTATGTATATCCCAATAATTGTACAAAGTGGGAAAAATATACTTTACCAAAATAAACGCGCAAACTCGCATTAATATTAACGTAGCAAATATTGTTATTATTTAACGTCACAATTTATATGTACGCTGTGCTATTATTATACACGCTTGCAACTTCGTTATTTTATTTCTCCATTCCCCGTCGCGCAGTCAACGAAACAATCGTTCATTGTTACAAATCTCTCTGCGAGCTCTCCTACGAAAGGGGAAAGAGGATTCGTCCCGGCTGATAAACCTCTATCTATTTATCCAAGCGCATTCAGAGTATTCGAGGACGCGGGGACGTAATCGCGAATCGCGCGTAACTTCATTACGATCGTTCGAATGTACGTGTCATCGGCGCGCTCAAGCCGATCGCGCGCAAAACCGGAAATAACCACGGCAGACGAAAAGAGGAAAAGAGAACGGCGACGAATTTTCAGCGAAAATCACGGAACGTTCCGACGGTTGGGAATTCAGCGGAGAAAGAGAGAAAGAGAGAGAGAGAGAGAGAGAGACCGATAGGAGGACGAGAAGGAGCGACGAGAGATATCTAGTTGCAGGTCGTTCACATCATGCGAGGGGGACAAGCGCTGTAAAAATAGAATGAGAGCGCCAGGAGTGCGTGCTCTCACACGCGCGTAGCGCACTGACGACGTCGTCGACGACGATGATTCTCCGCGTCTCTTCCGCGCGAACCTGTCTCTCTTCGTCTTCGTTCCCTTGCGAAATATATACTACTAGTCTACAGGATACGCCCAGCAATTAAACTCCAGACGACCTGAGAGATCGCGGAAGTAATCGAAGAGCTCACTTCCCACAGCCAACTTTAAGTCCCTGTTTAAGAAGAACGAGGAATGCGTTTAATTTCTTCGAGCATCTTGTGAATTTCCATATTGAACGAATTTCAGTGTTCAATCTTCGGTTTATTTTTCGATACGAATTTAAAGAAGAAGAATAATAGAGAAAAATAAATGTCTGGGAACGCGCAATGTCTCTCGGAACCTGTGGCGTTTAAAAAAAAAAAAAAAACCAACGTTCGAGAATCGCAGAATGTCTGAAAGAACATGGTTTACGTTTGTTCGCATTTTGCGCATGTTCGAATAAACACGTCTTTCTGCAAAAATTAACAGACTCCGACCTGGATCTACACATATTGATCCAACATTCGCGACAACTGCAATAATCGTATATTTCTCATTTAAGAAAAATAAGATTTGCAACATATTAATCACTCGGTTTTTCTAATTATCACCCTCTACTTCTCGTTTCCGCCATTCGTGGCGAATCCGGATGAATTTTGGCAGCGTTGCATCGATCGCTAGAGCCGCGCAGAGAGAGCCGCAGCACAACCCGGGAACAACGAACTACCGCGAAACGTACCTGCGTGTAACACCAGTTCTCGGCTACGGGGGTGTTCACTTCCGGTGGCGGCGGGCTCGGGACGCGGCTCACCGCCATACTACTGCTGCTGAGCAAGTTCGAGCTGACCCGCGACGTCTGAGGCGCACAGTCGCTCACCGCAAGTCTGCAACAAAAAAAGAAAAAATCGTCCGGTTAATTCGGGTGAACATTACGGGAGGCATACGGGGGACGACGAGTTTTGAGTCATCCCGCCGTGTGCACTTACATATATATATATATACATATATACATATATACAACATATACGCGCTATTACTCGCTCGGAAAGTCGTTAATAGTGTGTGTACGCGTGATCGTGTTACGTCAGAGGAATAGGTCGTCGACCTCTCCATATTTCTGGACGCGATGGGACAGACGGGCTCATTGAATTAGCGTAATGGCGTATGTACTGACGATGCGCTGCTCTGCGTTCGACAGGGCGAAACGGGTATAATTGTAATGTCGATAAATGAATTTTCTCCATAAAACTTAATCTGACACGTAAAATACAGATGGAAATTTTCTTTTTCGAATAAAAAAAATCTCTAAATTATCAAATATCGTTTTAAATAAAGAATATAATAATGGAGAAAATACTTCGGCACGTTTCAAAAATACAGTCGAAGACCTCGATAATTCGAATCTCAAGGGAAGAGCTAAAATCTTCGAGTTGTAGAGATTTCGACTCTATCGAAGTTCTTTTTTCCTTTTCGCGAAGCGGGAAGGAATGAACAAAATTTTCGTCTCATAGAGATTTTCGAGTTACAGAAGGTTCGAGTTATCGAGAGTTTTGACTGTATTGTATTCGCTAAATCGTGTATTTCCTGTACGTAACACAAACACCGTATCTCACCTCATTCTCAACGATGACGAAACCCCTTTTAAACGCGACTCGATCGCTGCTAATTGAGCTACTTGAAAGTAAGTAATGAATCTCTCGAGTAAGCGAGAGTCCTTCGGAAGATAAAGGTCATCATCGATGGTCGATCGATCGCGTAGATTCTACTATCGAGCGCCGGCATATATCGCGTTGTCGAGTGACAGGAGAGAAAGGAAGACAGAAGGAGAAGGAAAAGAACAAAAGACGAGAAGAGAGGGGAGAGAGGAAAAGCAAGGATGAAGGAAGGAGAGTATGCAGGACACGCGATGGTGCTCACGTGCGGTGCCAAGTACGGAACCGCTTCGGAAAGGCGAGTCAAGTACGTTAGCCCCGCAGGTTCATCGGACGCCAGATCGGGTCACCGCGGCGTACTACTCGCGACCAACCAGGAAACAGAAACTAAATCGAACGAACTCTCCTCGAGTTCGCGTCTCGCTCTCGTGACACGCAGAGATTCGCTCGTTCCATCGCGGCGCCGAAGGTATCTTTTAACGAGAAACGGAACTCGCTTAAACAGCGCGTTCGATAATGACGGAAGTAATTTACTAGCGAATAAAACAAGAAGCTTTAAAAGTAACAATAAAACCGGGGTAAAAAAGGAGTGGAAATAATTGCCGTATAAAATACCAACGTCTCCCGACGCGAGTGCAATAAAATTTATTAATGAGAGTGAGAAATACCGATTTAAAACTTAGTAACGGATATTTAGCTTTTATGTGAACAAAGACTATTATTATACAATAACGTTACCCGATCAGAAGAAGACTCGCGTCGCGGAGAAAGTACAGATTCTCGCGCGGGAGAAGAGCAGCTGCATCTTCTGCTTCAATTAATTAAAACTTGAATGCGAGCCGAATCGAATTGCCGATCGGCGTTAGCGTATAATATTATTATTATATATATATCGTTAGTATTCTTGTTGTATTTTTTTTTCGTTTTTTTTACCGACGCGGAGGTACTTTCGTTTGGCGAATTTCTCCGATTTCGCGCGCGAGAGAGAGAATTGCATCGCGCCCCGGACTTTTGTGAGCGGATCGCGTTCGCCGTTTCGTTCGTTCGGTGCCATAACTTTCACTTCCAACGCTTATATACTCCCACGTAGTTTTTGCGCTAGATACACAGCCGTAGGCATTGCCAGACCGCGCAAATGGGAGAGCAGTCTCGTTTTATTCGAGAGAAAGAGACAGGCGATTTTATCGCAACGCCGTCGCTCCGTTTAGTGAGAAAGCAATCACGGCTCGACCGTTAGAAAGTACAAGCGAAACGACGTTTCCGTCGATGAGAAAACATTTGGAGCGTAGATGTCGAACAAACTATATTGAGACCAGCGAAAGAGAGAAATCATTGGTAAAATCAAGAATCTCTTTTTTTTTTTTCAGAAGAGATCTTAATGACCGTTGCGGAAAATTATGTGTAAAACTGTCCTACATAAATTAAACTAGTTCAAAAATACCAAACTGTCCGTTTAAATATCGTTACAAATAAAACTAATGCGGTTTAAGAAAAAACAAAAAAAAGGCGATAGAACAAGCACAAATTTACATTGGATTACTATTTATCTATTTGGCTTTTAAGAAATTTGGTGAGAAAAAAAGAGGTCGGGAAGAACGCGAGTGGACTCTAGATCGGCATCTCTTTGTTCGAGCGATCGAAACATTCGAGCACTCGGTGGTCGAAGCTTGCGCAGGCGTGGACCGGGGGCTTCGAGAGTTCAGGGGAAAGTAGAACGGAGCCCCGGCACAAGCTCGCCGGTGAAAACGAGGAAGTTAGGTGAAAACTGTCTGTAGCGCGCGCGCGCGTCGAAATCACGTAATTATAGTGACTTAGTCCGACATTGCGCGCGGATTCAAGCTTCTTGCCAAATCGCGCCGCACAATTTACGAACACAATTTACGAACACAATTTTCGAAATACTTCTATTTCTCATTCGCAAAAAAAAAAACAAAAAAAAAATGAAACACGTAGGTATTTGACGGTTTAAATTTCCGCGCGCGTTCCATCTCTATAACGCGAAAATTGCTCTTCTCAATAAAACAAACATATCCGCTGATTCGATTATGCTCAATTTATCAATTCGTCATTTCATCCGTATTTTCAATTTGTCGATCAGAGAAACACATCACGCATGTTATCATCTCATTTTATATCCCTTTCAATATTTCGCAACAACATATTTCCCCGAACGACCGCGTGTTTTTCAACCGCTAATGAACTGTAATTGAACTGGTTGCTATGTAATCGCCGATAAGGACGACACACGAAGGTTGACGCGATATGTATACAACGTCGAAGGTGAGGTTGCGGTTTTCGACGAAAATATCGCTTTTTCGCGTTTTACGCGTTTAGCGCGTCTAAATAATACAAGGACGCGAATGCCGCGGAGGAGTCCGCGCGATCGAACCTCTCGCGTTTTCCTCGCTAATCGTCGTCACGCTCGAATTTAGATATCGCGCAACGTTTCCCGTACGTCTGTGCGTCGCCGACGCATAATTAGATACGTTTATTTCCATATCTGATTCATCCGGTCGTTTCGTAAGACCGGTAGGTGGGCAGGCAACGCGCGTCAGTCGACGCGACACGCGCTCGCGGAAAAAACGCGATGGAAAAAAGGAAGTTTCAATGTCAAGAACGGAAGGTCGCGGAGGCGACCGAGTGCAACGTAGCGCGCACGTGGATAAAAATATCGCCGCCTTTACGATTATCGCGATTACGCGCATGTTGCGTTGCGAATATGTGCGCGATAACGACGAAAACAAAATCTTATTGGCGTTTCTCTGTGATCGAAACCGACCGCGAGAATGAAAAGCTAACGTAAGTCTCGAAAAATGTCGATTTCAAAAAATTTCGATAACTGCACGAGAACGATGGAATAAATAATTCGCGCGTAGAAAAAGTTGTTTATATATTGCAATAAATTGATATTTGTGCGATATTGAAAAACATATCTATATGTACAGTTCATCGTTTTATTGCGAACAGACGAATATATATATCTGACGTTCGATATTAAGGAGGAAATTCCGGCATCCGAATGCGGCGCGCCGCTTCCTCCGCCGACACGTGGCTAGTGACGTTCGTAAGCTAGGACCTTGGCGTATATACTGACAACAATAATACACAACCTTGATACTTGATTACATAGCATATTCGACGTTTTCCTTTTTGTTGTGTTTTTTCCGATTTTTATATGCGATTCTCGTGTTTGTTTTACCCTTTATACCCTCTTTTCTCCGTTTGTTATTGTCACTCTGATTATTTCAATTTTCTATCAAGAAGCGCAGTATTTATATTTCGCACATTGATATAAATATTGCACGACGTACCCGCCAGAAGTGTGATTATAGATATTCATAAAAACTTGTAATGTAAATACAATAATATCACAGACATAAATGACATAAAACAGCCGTGACAGCTAAAAAATAAACACGTGCCAATCTGATCGTATCTTCGAATCTAACTCGAACATCGCAGTTTCTTTCCCCGTTGCCCTAGTTAAAAAAAAAAAAAAAAAAANGCATTGTCACTCCGAGACTAGGGGGGGGGGGGGCTCTTGACCAAACAAAGGGAAGTGGAGAGAAGGAAAGTGGAAGAAGCCGCTCGGTCGCCCTTTCCGTCGGTCGATTTTCGCAGGAAAGTCAGTATAGACGAAAGCGGCGAAGAAGAAGAGGGGGCGAAGTCAAGGCTGACGCTGCTTGGCGTAAGCCGAGTGTGTGATAAGACAAAGGCTGACTTTCCTCAAGGGCGCCGCGACTCGCCTTCGCGTTTTGCACGCGCCAACTTGTCGCTCGCGAGGACAAGCGCGATCGCTCAGCTCGCTCGCGAAGAAGACGAGGAATGGATGATGATGGTTCGAGCCGCTTGCTCTCTCGGGAACCAGTCCAAACCAGCCTTGGGCCTCGCAGCCGGCTGCTGCAGCACGGTAAACAAGCATGATCTATGCAAACAACGTGGATATGCCGTAACGCGAGGAAACAAAACGACAGAATGGGGAGAGGAAGATGTGCGGAAACACAGTTGCCGCATGCAACGTTTTCGAGAAAGTGATAAGAAACATCCATGCCCGTGTGTAGACTGCACGTTGAAGCGTCGCATATCTCGATTTGTGATATGGCGACGCGAACACTTTTCAAACAACCGTCGTCATCTTAAAGATATTAAACACACTTGGCAGTTAATAAACTTGGATAAGAAACTTCCGTTACGCAAAATCCCGAAAGGAATTTGTGTTTGAACGTAAATAA